GGCATGGCAGCAGAGGTGTTTGGGGGGGGGGGGGGTGATAGGTGAGGAGACGAAGAGGGGAAACAAGGGGCTGCTCTGACCGCTTCGGCCCCGAATGCTTTGCTTCAGATTATGACCGACTTTGGGCTATTCCGCTTGTCTTCTTGTTTTCGTTGCCGCGGCTTGTGCTGATGCTGCTGTTGCTGGCGGTTGCGATTGCAGGTGCGGCGGTGGTGGTGGTGGTGTTGGTGGTGGTAGTGGTAGTAGTAATAGTTAGTAGTTGTTGTGGTTGTGGATGTCGTTTCCGTTGTCCATGTCCATGATTTTGTCGTTGTGATGGAGGTGGTGCTGGTGGTGGTGGTGGTGGTGAGGTGGTGCTGAAAAGGCCTACCGATGGTGAAGCGGTGGCAGATTACTGGCTCACTTTCACAGCAACTGCAACCAGTACTCAGACTAGATGAAGAGATGCGCCAGTGTTTTGGGCTAGAAGATCTAGTAGTCTTGCGCCGACATATTGACCCGCCGCATATGGTACTTTGCGCTTTCAGGATGTTTCTCTGTCAGACAGGCAGTGTTGTGATAAGCGAACCCACCCAGGACATCGTGCTAGCTGCTAACTTAGGAGAATCGTCCTGCACGAGCTTGCCCAGTGCCAAAGTTTGCGCTGCCAATTCTGCGCCTTTTCTGAAGAGAGCCATCAGAGGTGATGTGTCGTCAACATTCGACCGAACTCTGACTTCGAGTTCTTGTGCCGGCTGCGAGTTTCAGTACGGAAGTACGGAGGGTTGCGAGACGCATCTTACTTTTTCGGGGCCTGCTCCGGCAACCAAGGAAAGTGAACCGATGGGAGGTGTTCCCAGCAAACTTTACATCTTGGATATGGGGTCGCATTCTCGGAATGTGCGGATGAACTGTGCAAGGCCATTCGTGGAAGGGTGTGCTGGGCTCCGGGCATTTTCAGGTCGTCCATCCGTCGAGGACCAATCGCACTCCTGGCAGCTCGCCCCTGCGGCCTGCATGCAATGTCGGCCGTTAGCACTTCTGTTCCGTGAGGGTTGTGGGACGTTTCGGGTTTTGTAGCCACGTGCTGGAGGACGGCTCAGCCGTGGAGGTTGGAACGGCCTTCCTTGGAGGCGGCGGTGCAGAAGCGGAGGTGCACAACTGAGCCCCAAGTGCTACGTGATATGCGGTGTTGACACTGGCAGATGTTCGACGCATGAGCCGTCCGAGGCGCTTCTGTCAGCCAGAGCAGATCAAGCCATTCTCGGGCTAGATGCCCCGTGGCTGAGCAGAGTCATGCTAAGAGAGGCCGGCAGTGAGCCATCCTGCTGTCATGCCGCAACATGAAGAAGTAGCTGTCTGTGACGTCTCGATCCTCGCACCTCCTCTCACGTTGCTTTGGCCTGCTGCTCGGCCAGTCGCCATGAGATCGCGCTCAATCTCAGGTGTCCTTGGCCAGCCCCGGTGCGCTGAAATTTACGTTGGAGGAGAAGCCTGCTGGAGCTTGGTCCTCAGCAGGAGCTCTTTATGTGGACCACGAACCTCGACAGCCACAAGAAGCCGCTTGGTCAACAACCGAAGCTCTGTTGCTTTCTTGCTACTTTGGGCTGCACTGTTCGCACCATAGCCCGAGACCGGCAACCATGGCAGCCGCTTTCTGCTAGTGCATGCCACCCCCCCCGGCCAGTCCCGACAACAGATCCTGTAAAGATGACATGACTACAAGTCAGAAGACTCCAAAGAAGCACGAGCACTTATTCCTCGCGAGTCAAAGAGAGCTACCCTTTCCCCCTGCAAGAGCCTCAGGTTTCTGTCAAGGGAGGACGGCTGCAGTTCAAGTTGCGAAGCTCGGCAGCAAGAGCCACAAATAGCACAGTCAGTAGCTGCATGTAGCCAAACCTGTCCCGCCTGTCGCAGGCATGGAACCTGGATGGCACTGGGTGACGTGGGTGTGGCGCTACACTGGTCCAAAGCTGGAGGAAGTTTACTCTCTCTCTTTCTCTCGCATCAGCACCCGTCGTGCTGTACTATGACTCGCCGGCAGGAGCAGGCGGCCGATGCCAGCCAGCAGCAGGAGGGAAGTGGCCTCCGGCTGCTCGAAGTCTCCGTGACCAATGCCTTAGGCGCGCGGCCATGCACGGCTCGGCGCTGGACCGGCTGCAAACACTTCCTGCAGGCGCCAGCCAGTCTGGGCCCTGCCGGAGCTGTCCGCCGGGCCGCGGCCTGGTGAACACCACCGAGTGCTGCGCTCTGTTTCGGCAAAGAGGGGCAGAGACGTTTGCTTTTTTTTGTTTATGGAAGGTGCCGGGCGTGCCCGCCTGGTTGGAGCACAGCCATGGACGGCGGCGAGCCAGTCCATGAAGGTGCCGGGAAGCCGGGGTGGAGCGGTCTGCAGTGGGTGTCCGAGGGTCCTAAGCCTCCCTGTGCCTTCGGAGCCGTGTTCGGCGCGAGGCTGCAGCCGGTGTCCGGCCGGCCGTGCGAGCAGCGGTGACCGCGGTACCGGTTCGCCCAGCTGCAAACCATGCGGCCGTGGAACCTTCAGCGACTCAGGCAAGTTCTTCGCTCGGTGCTTACGGCCTCTGAGAGGCTTTGCCCGGGCCTTTCCTTGCCTCCAGGCGCCAGCTTCTGCAAGCCGCTGGCAACGTTGGGTGGTGAAGGGAGGCTGCAGTGGAGTACGGAGGCGATCCTGGCTGCCTGGCCGAACTCCTCGCAGACGGCAAGTGGCCTCAGAGGTGTTCAGGTGGAGGAGCCCTGGCTTCCGAGCAGAACAGTCGCCCCCTTTCTGTCACGTTTCTTGCAGAAGTGTGCTTGCTTGCCGAAGATCGGATGACAGAAAATGTTTTTGCCCCTTCCCTGACGAGGATCGGACCTACTACGTGAGCCTGCTAGAGCCGAAGCGTTTCCCAGGGATTTCACTGCCGTTTACGAATGCGGCAGCTTTTGTTTGGGAAGTTTTACCACCCAGAATCAACAACGATGGTGATGCATGTGAGTCCAGTGCCTCGTCTCTGTCGTCTCTGCGACCCTTTGCCGAGACGTTGGAGCAAGTAGTTCCAAACGAGGGAATGCCTGCGGGCCTCTGGCTGAACTTCGCCGGCAACTGCGAGAAGATGGGAGAGGTGACAAAGCGGGAACTACACATACTGCTGAGTTGTCGTCCAGACGCACGACGTGACAACCTGGACATCAAGCTTCTCAGTGCGATGCGCCCACCGTCTCCAGGCAAGCGACATGACTCACCTGAGTAGGCCTGTCGTCACAGCTCTCTGTAGTAGTCAGGGAGTTCTGTAGGTGATTGGATCAGCAAGGATTGAGAACCCTTCTTCGCATCAGGTGGCTGTGAGGACCTGGCGTTGGAATGGTCAACGCCGGCGGCTTGTCCTCTCTGCCAAGAAGGCTCCCCTAAAATTCCCCTGCCCACGGCCTCGGCTGTACACTCTGTGCTTTGGGTCTTTTGTTTGGCATTGTTGCCTGATCTTTTGACTAATTCTGCAGGTGACTGGGAGATGACCGTGCCAAACAAGTGCGATCCCGTGAAAGGTGCAGGTAGCAGGGATTCCACGCCTCTGATGCTGGCGGTGCTCTGTTGCAAGGTCAGCGTGTCACCCATGTGGCACCCAGCGGCTGCAGAGGCGGCGTCCCCAAACCGCCGGATTCCTGGCGGCCCTGTCCCGGGGTTCCTGTGGCTTGCACTTGGCCGGCGGGGCCTGAAACGCTCAATGACACCAACTCCAGTTATTCAGACTCGGAAAGCCAAGGTGATCAACATCCTCGCGTTTGTCATCATCGGGGCGTTAGTTGGGTGCATTCTCTGTTGCCTCAGCTGCTATGTCCTCATCCTCCGTAGGCTCGGACAGTGCTGCTTGCACTGTGGAAACGTGCGGTCACTGCTATCCTATCCCTTGCCGTTCGTGCAGGCGCTATGCCCGGTACATGGTATTGGAGGAGTCACAGGTGAACGGAGTTGCTCCGTCCAGCATCGGAGTTCCTGACAGCCCCCACCCCGACTTGAAGTGAAAATGGAGCGCGAAGCACCTTTGCATGCCCTAGTCCGGAGCTTTGAGGAACCCAGAGCTGTTTCTGAAGAGATTTTCCAAATGAAGGAGATTTCTAACACATGATTGCATTCTCTGTCGCCTCAGCTGCTAATTACGTCCTGATCCTCCGTAGGCTCGGACGGAGTTGCTTGCTCTGCGGAAATTTGCGGTCACTGCTATCCTATCCCTTGCCGTTCATGCAGGCCCTATGACCGAACATGGTATTAGCGGGGCCACAGGTGAACGGAGTTGCTCCGTCTAGCGTCACAATTGCGTCGCTAATTTTTTAACCAACGAAATTTTGAAACAATTATTTCTCAACTTGTTGTGAACGGACTCTCATATATTTAGTTTGACAGCAAACTAACATTTATATTAGTCCACTAAAATGTTAGCCATCATTTTTTTTGGACTTCCCTCCCTTGTTGACCTGAAAAACCCACCTTCTTACAATTTTCGTCAAAGTCGCAATAACATCTGGTCCATTGCTCATCCATCCAGACCAAATAGACGCGCAGCCATTCGTTTCTCGACAAGGCATCCGCGAGCTCATTGTCCTTCGTGAAGAGCCACGCCGCCGATGTGTGAACTCGTTGAGATGGGTCCGACCACAGCATGTAATTGCCATGGTTTGACACGATATCCAAAATCGAGATGATCAGTTTGTCCATTTCCTTCTTCGAGTCTGACGCATCAAAAACAGTCACTCGGAGTGCCTGACAGCCCACATCCCGACTTGAAGTGAAAATTGAGTGCGAAGAGCCTTTGCATGCCCTAAGCCGGAGCTTTTGAGGAACCCAGAGCTGTTTCTGAAGAGATGTTTCTTTGTCACCATGCAAAAAGGTCTCGGCTCCAACAGTCCATTTAGGGACTGGTAGTCGGCCCGCGGTCGGGGCAGCTGTGCCGGGCTGCCGGGCTGCTGGCACGGCAGAGCGCTCAGGGCAGAGTGCAAGCTGAGTGCTGCCAAGAGCTTGTGGTGCTCGCTGCTCGGAAATTCGTCGAGGATGGCGGATCCAGGCTCTCCGATGTCGCCTCCCTCGCCGAACCCGCCGTCCTCCAAGGCCGCGATGTCCAAAGTGCAGGATCTCATGTAATGTCGACTGCGAGTTCAGGGCGCGGCTGACTCCTTCGAGGAAAGGCCGACCGTGGCGACCATGAGACCGCAGGAAGCTTAGAGCAGAATATAAAGCCAGCGGATGCCAGCACTGCACACACGAGGCCTAGACCAGAAGTCCTCTGGAAGAAACATGATCGAAAAGCCATGAAGTCGCGGCCCTTGGTCTCCCGTTCGCACGTGGTGGACGTTTGTTGCGGGCTTTGCAGGACTGGTCAGCGAGGAACCATCTACTGGGTGGGGGCCGAAGCTGCGCACTGACCACACTCGTGGAGATGGGGGGATTCTGTGCAGGTTGGCAAACAGATCATCGCAGAGGCAGAGGACTTAGGGCGGGTTTGGGGGGGAAGTGCCCTGTGATCCACTCAGGATGGCTCCAAGACTGGGCAGGTGGAGAAAGGAGCTAGCTACCAGGGCGAGTGGGATAGTTGCTCGGCGAAAATTTCGTCTCAGATGATGCCGAAGCCCGTCATCGCTTGTGCAGACTTGACCTCATGCCTTAGCTGCATGTGACAAAAGCTAAGACAACGAGAAAAACGGCTATGGCGTGCAGGTTCCTTTTCTGTTTGTCGTTGCTGAAAGGGTGATCGTACCTGCATACATGCTCTGAAATGCAAACTCCTGCAGTATGCAGGTGTTCCCGAACGGCCAAAAGTATGAAGGCCAATGGGCGAACGGGATGCGGCTCGCGTCTGAGACAAATCCAGCTGTCTGATCTTTGATGCTGAAGCTGTGCCGTGTTTCCACCAGGAACGGCGAAGGAACTCTTTGGGTACCTTTCGGCAAGGTGGTGGATTGTCAGGGTTCTTGATGTTGATGCTTCGTGCACCGCCGTCGCGGAGGCGAAGAAGCTTCGCAAGCTGTATGTCGGCGGCTGGAAGAACGACAAGCGACACGGTGGCTCGAAATGCTTTTGACATTCTCATGGTCTTGCTTGAAGCAGTCGCAGCCGCTACTGCGCTGGACAGCGTAGGTCGTGGCACGTGCTTCTTCAAGGACGGGCAGTTCTTCCAGGGTGACTGGACCCAGGCCACTACTGCAAGGATATGCAAAGATCAAAAGCCGAGACCCGCGAACTCGCCCGATTCTCCAGGGCAAGATGAACGGCCAGGGCCTGCTGCGATACAGCAATGGCTGGCTCCTGAGTGCAGTGTGCAGGTGGAGGCTGCGGAACCTCTCACCCTCCCTTGGCCTGCCCAGGCGACCTGTACATAGGCGAGTGGAGCAACGGCCTTCGATCTGGGCAAGGAACCTTGACAAAGGTGCGAGGGATCGAGTGCTGAAGAGCAAGGCATCAATCGGAAGATGCATGGATGCTGGCAGGCAAATGGTGACTGCTACGAGGGCTTTTGGCTCAATGTGTGCCCGTCAGTTCGGCGAAGAAGTTCAAGTTAGATGCACAGATCCAGATGTGAATCAAAGTTCTGTCCCATGCCAGGACAAGAGAGAAGGTAGTGGATCCTACTTTTATGCCGAGAGCGGGAAGGTCTTCGTCGGAGAGTGGGTAAACGACCTGCCCAAGGCTGCTCGCAATTGTTGCTTTCGGCAGATTTTGACTCACACGATCCCGGGGGGCTCCAGAGACCAGAAAGGCCTGCAACATGCCTTCATGTTGTTGTCTGCAGCCCGCCTTGCTCAGGCCTTCTCACGCCTGTCGCTATGTAGGGATCTCTTGAATGCATGCCTGTGGTAAATGCTGGGGACGCACAGCCTTGGAGACGCCACCATGGCGGAGCCGGCCGTAGCCGGCGGTTTCGGCTACGATGTGGACCCGAAGTCCGAATCCCCTCACCAGTGTTGGCCTGTGCTCCTTTCCAAGCTGCGTCTGAGCATCCAAGAGCTGGGAGAACCACCCAAGGCCCGGCCCTTAGAAGGTCTGGCTGCAACTCTACAATATCATGATGTGATATGATGTGTATGCCAAGAGGTACACCATTGACTTTCGATCTTCAGGATTTCGTGTGTCGCCCTGCCAGGTTGCAGATGGCCCGGATGTTCGCATTGCCTCGGTGGTTTTTCGACTTCTGAAGGAACACCCCGACTGCATCGACCTCTGCGATTTGTACCTAGGTAGGCATGGCCAGCAGGTGGAGAGTCTCTGCCGACAAGTGCTTCTACGTGGTCCCTTTGCACATATTGTAGAGGTGGGTGCTGGAAAAGGTCTCCTTGGACGTGTGCCTAGGCCTAGATTCGGATTACAGATTTTCAAGAGGGTGGACGTGTTCGACACTATTTCAGGTTCTGCATTCGCTTGGGAGTCGGAACTCAGAGCCCGAAGCTTCTCAGATCAGGTGCTTCAGGAGCTTATGCCAGGATCCTCTTTGACCAACCTCGAGATTAATTCCGGTCATGGAGGGTTCGACCGTGACGACGCCGAACGGATCGTGCTTGACGTCCGCGAGTCATCCCGTGTGCGGGAGCTGTTGCAAAGCCTGACATCGGGTCGCATATGTGTCGTGGCGAAGCATTTGTGTGGTGCTGCGACTGATGCACTGCTCCAAACCCTGGCATCCTGTCCGGTGGCGAACGCGATCCTGATTGCTCCGTGCTGCCATTCAAAAATCCAACATCTCGAAGAGTACTCGAATTCTGACTTCCTTCGTGAGCGATGCTTCTCAGCCAGTGAGTGGCCGATGCTCATCAAGTTACTCGCTGTGGCGCGATTGAAATTTGACCAGGATGCTAGTGGCAGTGGCACGGCATCTGACAAATCCTTCAAGAGCTGGCAGCGCACCTCATCTGCAATGATATGGTGGCTTCCCTTTAAGGGCATGATGCTGTGAGATGTCGTTTTCTTAGCCCAGGCTGGGAACATACCTTCGGCGGCAGGAAAGCAATGATTGAGATCGGACGTGAGGTGAGACAACTACTTGAGGCAGGTCGTGCGCGGATTCTCGAGAAGCTGGGTTACAGCACGGAGCTGCTGCAGTACGCTCCTGCGCACACCACCTCTGAGAACTTGGTCATCATAGCAGAAAAGCAGGCCGTGGCAGGCGTGGCAGTCTGCAGCCCGCAAGGCTTAAATGCGCTGCCCAAAGTCGGAGTGCTGCTGGAAGCTCCCAGTGCCGCCGCGCGCGTGACCCAGTTCCTCATGGAAGTCCGAGGGCAGGTGCTGGACAACACGGATGTGCTGCCCTTCTTGGCGGCCTTTGCGTGTTCAGACGACTCAGTGGCGGTGATTGGCAAGGACGTGCTCGAGGTTATTTCGGCTCTTCGTGAGCACGCCCTTCTGATGGTGCAGCTGAGAATCGTAACTCGAGTCTATCCGTGTCTTGGCTAGGAAGATGAAGCCGTCAAGCGAACTTGAAGTGAAGAAGGGACGAGATGTTTCTTGTCCTGATGCCTCTGCTGTCTGCGTTTAGCCTAGGTTCAGCTTTGCGGTGGGTTCGCTGGAAGAGGTGCCTTTTAAGCCACAAGGACCGGTGCTTGCGAGCTGGAGCTCTGCAACTCCTTGGGTGACTGGTTCCAGGAGTTGAACCACCCTTCCGTTTGGCGGTCTCCCCTCGTGCATTGCTCGACGGGGTTCTTGCAAAGGCAACGGATCAAGGAGACTCAGTGGCATTTCCATGATTTTTGTGACAGGGTTTCGCTTGTCCTTCACGGCTGAAGGAGTTGAACTCTCTCCACAGCACTTCAATGCTTCGATAACGGCCAGCAGCTCATCACGGGTAGTTCGGTGTGAGCAGACATCATCTAGCGAGACATGGAAGGTCCGTCGGCTTTGGGACGGGAGCCTCGGTGTCGCCTGCCTTCCTCGAAGTGCATGGCACCCAGGCGAGGAGCCTCAAAGCTGGCGGCCTGTCAGCAATAGCCTTTAGGGTCGCGCGGCGCGGGCACGATCTTGTCTTCTTCAACCCTTTCTGAAGGACTCTGGGCTCCGACTCCGATGGCGGGCAAGAGAAGAAGCTGTCGTCTTTGCATCGCTTGCGTTTTCGAAACCCGCCATGCTATGCCAGCATTTTGGGGGGCTGTTCAGATGATACCCACGCTCTCGAAGTCTGGATGTCTGCGCCTGATGTCCAGAAGCTCAGGACTCCAGGAATGGCAGCAAAGGCTTGGCGTCAGCCGCCCGGCGGCAAGCTGGGGCTTCAAACCCCACGGCGCAGGGAACCAGGCGCTACGTGATGTCCATGTTTTTTTTTCAGCGTCCGGATTGTGCAGCAAGCTCCATAGCTGGCTATGCTGGATGGTTTCCAAATACGGAGGCATCATTTGAGCCTGTCGTGTTCCCTTTTTCTTTTTTTTGCTCTTTGAGCGCGTGTCTTGCTTGGCTCGTGGGCTTTGGTTTTTGTCCTTCAGCTTTCTGCTTGCCATGCCGGCTGCCGGAATCCTGCCCTAGGAAGAGCTTTCGTGTTTTCTCTGCGCTTCCGCGATCGCGGAAGCAGGCAATGCCCCGAGCACTCCCTCGTAGCGCGGGTATCGCGTGGTATCGCGTGGCCAGTCCCCACGCGACAGCAGCGCGGTCGGCAGCTTTCGCTGTTTCCCAGAAGTGCCAAGGGCACAGCTTCGGAGCCGGCTTGCACATAAACCTAGGCCTCCGCGGTCAGCGCGCTCGTGTGCACAGCCATCAAGCAGAATGGCTACAGGCCCTTCACATGGAAGGCATCGACGTTGTGTCAGGACGGCACCCGTACGTAGGTGATGTGGTTTGCTTCTGACAGTGTCTTCGCCTTTGCATGGCAAGAACGGTTTTCTGACCTGTCCCTGCCTGCGTTGCGCTTTTTGCGCAGGAGAGGTGGATGCCGATGTGCTCATCGTGGACTGCGGGCGCTCGTTCCAAAGAGGTTTCGGGGACTTCAAGCAGAGCTACCCTCAGACTTGAGCTTCTGCCTGGTTCATGGTGCAGTCAAGTCACGTGCACATTCCGGCCTCAGGTGCACCGCACAGATGGCACTGGCTATCGTTCCCGTCGCGGAAGGACGGGGTGGCAGAGCAGCTCGAGCGTCACAGGTGCTGGTCGAGGCCTCCGGTTTGGACAGCTGAACATTGACTTGTCGCACATCCGATGTCTCGCGAATGCTTTGTCTGTGCAGGTGAGCAAGGTCGTCGGCAAGATCGGAACTCGAATGAGTGCTCACCACCTCTTGAGCAATCGTGACCAAGAGCGCACAGTGCTTCTGCGCAAGCGACCTGCAAAAAGCGCGCGAGGCTTCATAGGGCACGGTTTTTTGCCACAGGTTTTGATTTTGGGATGAAGATTGACATGAAAGTCTTCGAAGTATGGCAACCTTCCGGGTACGTTGAGGAGCAACGTATGCTCGCCATAATGTCATCGGGTCCGAGGTGCGAGGGCGACACCGAATAGTCTCATTTGTTGGCGTTGTTGGCAATTGTTTAGCACGTGACTCGAAGCTGTTATTTCACACAGCCATTCGATGATGTCCTTGAGCCTTCGGTTGATGCGATGGGGGGCGGCTCTTAGCAGTCATCTGTTACTCTGTTGTCCTCCCTGCAATGTCCCATGTGCGCGCCTTTGGTCGACTCTCTCCGAGCTCTTTGGAGCTTGGGTTCTGAGAAGCCATGAGTTGAAGCACTTGGGCGCTTTGAGGCGTAGGCTGCTTCCTCCACCACATAGAACAGCTGCCGGCATTCCCACAACTACATCTGAATCTTCTCATCGAGATGAGGAAGTAGACACGGAAAGTTGGAAGTGCCAGGCTGGGGTCTACACACAAGCGAACTCGAATCCGGAGCAGGCCACGCCGGAGACTCAGCATGCACGGTGCGCTGGTGCCAGACATGAGTGAGAGTCAGCATGAAAAGAACATGTGCGCTGCTGCATGTGCAGAAGCATTGTGCAATGCTTGGCTTCAGGCCCGTCCCGCAGACTACGATTCTGCCTACGCTCATGCTGGCCTTCCCCAATGAGGCGGAGTCACTCTGAATCCCATGAATTCGAACGATTCAGCCCCAGTCATAGGCATCCCTATTCGCCCTGTTGTGCCAGCTGGAGAAGCTGAGTTTGCAGTCGTGTCGCAGAAGTGGCCAGGTTCTAGACGGAGCCCTCGCCGCAGTCCGAGAGCTGCAGCAGTCCAGCTCCCGGATTCATAGACGCGAGCACGCTCATAGCAAATTGTCGACTCCATCACGAAACTTTCAACGTGGCTGTGCAGTTTCTCGCCGGACTTTGCCGAAAGTGGAGAGCAGGCCAAGTGCACATCTGCTTCCTGTCATAAGTTGGCGGCAAAGCGCCGGGTGAGCAGGTCCAGACTAGTAACGGTTGAGAACAGCATGTGCAGGTCGACGAGGCAGAGGACGAGTATGGCAACGAAGTGGATACTACAAGTAATGCAGTCCGAGCCCATGTGCTAGCCATTCACGCGTCGATATCAATCCTGTGCTGGAAAAGGTGGGCATAAGCAGAGCTGAAGATACAGGCTCGCCGTGAACCCGCTGCTTTCGAGCAGGGCAGTCGCAAGACGCGACCAGGTTTCATGACAGACAGGAGCCCCACTAGAATAAGCCACATATACAGGGGACGTGCTAGAATGACCGCCCTGCGAACTGTTTCACTTGTCTCGTAGATGGAATGTTGATACATGTAGCATGTAGACCAGGAGCGGATTTTCCTCACGCGTCCGTCGATGGACGGAGCAGTGCAAGAGTCATGCCCTTCACATGGCCATGCGATTTCGACAGCCTACCAGGTTAGTTTAGTAAGTTCCATACAAAGTCTGTTGCTGCGCGCAACCATCATGTCACTATGTCTCACAGCTGCGAACCACCTGCGGTAGTAGCTCTGCAAGGTAAAAGGAGCGGGTTTGCAACAGTTTGATGAGAACGTTGATTCGTGGTCACACATCCATCGAGATGATGTGCAGTGTGTTTGTTTCTGGATTTGAAACTGGTCCAGTCGTCGTTGCAGGTACTTTGATGTCGGGAGTCTGAATAGATATCTGTTTGGTCGTCTGCTGTGCATGTGTGCACGCTGTTCTTTGTATAGGCAGTTTTTAATGCAACATTTGCAGACCATGTTTGTGTGTAGAATATACTTTATATACATACCGTTACATACCCACATACATACTGTATATATACAGACACATCTGCAGTTGAATGTGTAGTTTTTGACGCACATGTACATGCATATTTTCATTTACACCTTTGCGATCCTACTTGTGTGTATCTAAGCATACTCGCTCAACATAAATACATATATTTGGTATGTGTATGTATGAGCATATTATATACGGACGTGCAGCAGTATGATCACTGTGTATTTGCATATGCGCCTGCATGCGCACACACACATATGTGTGTACATGCATATACGTTTATGTGTATTTGTATGTACATGTAGATATATATATATATACACATGTATGTGTATATGTACAGGTATTGGTATAAGTATTAAGTGTAGGTATAGGTACATGTATATATACATATATAAATAGGTATACATGTACAACTGTATACAAGTATGTACATGTTGATTTTTATGTTCCTGGAAGAGCCCTCTTCGTACTATTTGATCTGCGGTTTGGCCGGCCACAGGACCCAGACCGGGCCCAAACAGTTGACAGTTTGGGGCCCTCCCCCGGAGCTTTCCCCAACTGTTTGATGTTTGAACCCTCCTGCCCTCGTCCGAATATTAAATATTCGCGCTTTGAATAAGTGTTCAGTGTGCCCCGTCCGGACCTTAGGAAGGTTTTTTCCACTTTCAGGTTCAATCATGCTATTCCATCGTTTGGATAGAGGCTTACTTTCATTTCAACTTGTGGGTTCAATCTCATGTTGCTTCCTCGGTCAAATTTAGGGTTTTCTGCCTTCGCTTCGTCAACTTTAAGGTGTGCTTGCCTTCGTTTAATTTTCTCTCACATTTTCGATTCACTTTTCAGGTTTCTTCAGTCTGAATTTCGTTTCAAACTGTGTCGTACTGTGGAAACTTTGAGGAGTAAGTGAGTCGTACTTTCGCTTCGTTCTTCAGGTTCAACTGAGCCTTACTTTTATTTCAACTGCATTTTGCTTTTGTTTCAAGTTTCAGTTTTAGCTAAATTCTACTTTCGTTTCCATCGATTCACAATAAACTAGCTCTCACTTTTGTTTCATGCTGCAGAAATACTTGAGTTTCATTTTGGTAAGTTTTCAGGTTTTACTGCAGCTTACACTCGTTTGTGTATGCCTTTGGCAAATTCATGTTTACTTGTGCCTTACCTCCGTTTGACTTTGCAGCTTTGCCCAGTCTTAAGTTCGTTTCAATCTTCAGCTTAAGTTGAGCCTCACTTTCGTTTCAGCTTTTCTGTTCACTCTCAGCTTGTCACGATGCTTGCTTTCGGTGCGATTTTCTGTTCTACATACGAGAGTTCAGCTTTTCGATTCAGTTTGTCAGTTTGACGCGAGTCTTCGTGTTAATCATTGTTTAAGATTCTGGTATCACGTCCTGCTTCTCGGGTTCTTTTGATTTGCAGCTTGCCTTCGTGTCAAGTTTCAGGTATGCTCGAGTTAATCTTTCGTTTCAACCTTTATTAGTTTTTGTCTGCTCGTGCTTCGTTTTCAGTATGGTTTAGTTTCCACGAGCATGTTTAGGACCGCGGTAGCTCAGTGGGTGGGTGGATGGGTGGGTGCTTCTGCTTCTACTATGCAAAGCAGTGCTGCTGCTATCCTGCTAGGCGATGCTTTTTCCTACGAAGAATTTCGATTTGGGGCTTTGTATAAAGAACTGTTGCACCGGGACAGAGACGGATACATAGTTGCATCGATGGGCGGGCAGATCTGGACGAATCTGTAGGTAATTATGCAGGCAAGCAATCGGCGTGGTAGATTGGTTAGCTCCCTCTCCCTCTCTCTCAGTCTGCTCGTCTCTCTCTCTCTCTCTCTCTCTCTCTCTCTCCTTCTCTATCTATGCACCTATTCCCTCTCTGTAAGTGATTGTAGGTGTACCAATGGTTCGGTTTCTCACGCAATAAATCTGCCTGAACTGCTTGCTCTCGGATACAAAACACAGCAAGACACAATACGATTGTGCTGCCATGGACTGCTTCTTTCGGAATCCATGCGTTGCCAGCAATTTCTGGCCGCTCATCGCAGCATTGTTTGAGGGTGGTGTGGCTGTCAGGGACCATGCTCCGTAATTCCGTAAGGTAGGGACCCGCGTTCCACGTGAGCCTAAACAATGAAGCTTCTACCTACCATGGTGCCACTCTTGCAAAGAACAAAGTGTTATCGTCGGCACATGTGGCTGTCACGGTAACCATCAAGCAGTTGCTGCTTAGACGCTTCTTTTCGGACCAGACGCAATGGTCGCAGTTGGATGCTGTTGCGTTGAAGAGGGCGCAAGCATGCAGGTCGGTTTCTCGCAGACATGCTGCTGGCCTTGACTGGTGCGCGTGGCAGGAGTACTTCAGGTGAAGCATGTCAGGACGGTCGCAGGGATCTTACTGTGACAACACCGCACCAGCAGTGAAGCTTCAGTGCAAACTCTGAGGCCGGATTCCGTGACTCGTTCCTTGAGCGCATGTGCGCTACGCTGGGGGCACAGACGAGACGCAGGCAGCACACATCAAGTGCATATCCCCCATTGACCATAGTCTCAGGCAGCCAGGATGCCAGAAGACCTAGTTCAAAGACGCTGAAGGTGGCACTGTGCTTGACAGTAGCTGATTTACGGCGGCAGCTCGCGCAAAGATGCAGGACTTCCCTTTTGCTTTGAGCTCTACGCTGACGGAGCAGAGGGGTCCCAGCCCTCAAGGACACACTCATTGGCCAATGCAGGATGTGTTTGCTTCAGAGATTTGGTGAGTTTTCTGCAGGCAGTCCTTGCAGGTCCTGCCTGGTAGATGGCCGATGGGTGCGACAAAGTCTAATAAATGTAGCTCAGGCTTAAGTCAACGCAGGATGATCCGCGATACGCTGAGCCGCCCTCTTTCAACGGGTCACTGCTACGAGTGTCCTCGTCACCCAACGGCGACAACGACAACAGCGACCACAGCAGCACCAACGACAGACGACAGCGACGCCAAACAAGACAATTGTTTCGACAAAGACAATGGTGGGGAAACGACAACTTCAACGACAGGGCCTACATCACGAAGCTGCAGATGCAAGCACGTTTCAAGAAAATCCAGAGGACAACGATGCGGCATAGATTGACGTTGCTGTCTTGTGAGATGTGTGATGAAGCTTCAGCAATGGCAACTTGTCGGAGCAGTCGACGATGCCGTTAGTCTTCGTGGCTCCAGAGATGAATCACCTTGATAGACGGACACAGTTGATGATGCACAACCGAATGTGGTGAGGGTGGTGTGGTGGTGCTGCTTATGTCGCAGTAGCAGCTCTTTCTCTTCCGGTTCCTCGAGGGGCGCCCCCTATGTGTTTCTTGATGTTCAAGCACTCTGTTTCGGGCACACATGTGTGGTGTGGGCTCTGAGCCGGCAGTCTCATGACAGTCCAGTGGCAAGGAGCTAGCAACTTCAGCAACTCCGCACCTCTCTTCGGAAGGCAAGGCTGGTGGACTCCTCTTTCTCGAGAGCGCACGAGCTTCAGGCGAAGGACATCAGCACCATCCGGTCGCCCACGGACGGGACCAGGCGAAGAGTGCTGGGCGAGACAGGTGGAAGGGACACAGGGCCCAGGGGTTCCCTCCAAGGTGGCCAGCGGCGGCCGATGACCTCTTCGATGCCGTTGGCAGGGAAGGATCCGGCACGAATAGGACGAAATACCTGGGTGAATGCAAGCCGAGCTCCAGGATGGTCATCTCAGCTTTCCGACTTTGTCTTCCTCCTTTTCAGCGTTGCCATCAAAGGCCTGGGCTGCTGTCGGCCAGGACGTACATGTGAGAGTGAGAGAGTTCCATGGGACGCTGCCGCAAGTGTTTGTTCTCATCGAATGCGTCGGGCTCTGTACTCCCAGCACGTCAATCTGTGCAAGGTCCACTTCGGTAGGTCAAGTGCTCTTATCCCGATTCACTCGTGAAGCTTGCAAGGCGATGGATCATGTCGCTAGCATATGCAGAGATGCACAGCAAACCTCCAGGGTGAGAACCTGCACAAGGTATCAGAAGGTTCTACGCAGTTTCGCTGAAGGGTGTCTCTCAGTTTCAAGCATTTCCAGCCCAACCAAAGACATGCATCTTGCAGCGAACTTTGTACAGAGACAAGCTCGTGACATGTACCGCTCTGCTGGTCATGTCGTTAAGCTTAGTCGCCGCATTCAGATCTGCGGGCGTCCGCCTGCGGCTGCTGCGCGGGAACATTGTATACTGGCAAGGAGACTGCATCGTTAACGCAGCGAACGTGCACCTAGAACCCAGTCGGCAACCAGAATACTGGCGCCACATTGGGCGCCGTGATGTGAACTCGGCGGTCCATGATCGCGCAGGAGCAGTGCCTGTCCTTGCTGTCTCTGCGAAGATGCTGGGAAGTGCCTTCATGTGAACTTGTCATTCTGTGCAACTGTCTGAAGGACCTTCGTTGGCGAAGGAGTGTCTCTCCTTGCCTCTGGTGGAGAGCGAAGCCTCAAGCGAGGATTGGGTGGCTTCTGCCCCTGGACATGGAGGTAGGATACGCTGCCCGCGTGGAGAGGCACGATTGACGGGCGGCCACCTGCTCCAGTGCAAGCACCTGATTCATGCTGTTGGCCACGCAGCCATGGTCTTAGCAGAAGTTTTGGGCAGGTCGTGTTGACCTCAGCGTCAAATCAGAGGCTTCGTCTCCATCGTGTCATGAAGTAAAGGCGGCTTTCTGGACCGTGGTCATAAGTGAAATTCCACACGGCTTCCTGCAACATGGTTTATCTGTACCAGGGCAACTCGTCTTGCCGTGTGTTGCTGGTAGCTCGGAACTGAATTTTGCTTGTAATGCAAGGACCCGACTACGACACAGCCGTACGTTGTGCGGGGTCTGCGAAAGCAACGGCAGAAGCTCATGAGAAGGCAAAACAGCTGCTGGCAGACACGTACAGAAATGCTTTCACTCTGGCGAACAAAGTGTCTGGCTAGCATTTTCTTTGCCACTCCTTAGAGTCAAAGGAATTGAGTCTATGGAAACAATGCGCAGTCTGCTTGGCCGAGGCATCTGCAAGATCGGTTGCACTTCCTGCGATCTCTTGTGGTGTCAATGGCTTTGGTGGATATGATTCCTTGGACTGCGCGGCTAAGGCCGGAGCCCTTTAGCTGGTGAAGCTTCGCGACACATCTTCGGCATGGCCGCCGTTTGATGCATCCTCTCCGTTCTCTAAAGCTTCAACCAAACTCTTCTTAAAACAGGTGTGTGTCCGTGCTACTGACTGCATGACGTGGTAGAGAAAAGAGCAGCCTTTTTCACGGATGTTCGAAACGCTTTTTCCTGGCCGACAAAAAGTTGGTTTTGACAAGCCGTCTGTGTGCTGTGATCGGTTGCAAGGTGTCCATCCAAGCAGCCCTGGAGAATGCCGGGAACGTCCAGTCCATTGATCTGGAGCTGCACTTGTGGGATCCGTCATGCTTATAGAGAGGGTTTATGTGCTTGTTTGCTGCTGCTCGCTGTTCACTTCCCTGTCAAACAGCAGTGTCCCAGCAAGAGGTTGTCAAAAGCATCCTCTTTCCCAGGATTTCATTCTGTATGATGCGATCTGTGCGGAAGCTTGGGAGGAGGCGGCTTGCATGACTGCCAAGAGGTTACAGCTTTGCCTAGTGTTCTACAGTCTCTTTGTGACACACGACTGTTGAGCTAAATCGACGAGGCTGCAGATGCCAATGAAAGCTTGCTGCGATAGGATGGCATGCCAAGCTGAAGATGCCAAAAAGCTGAGAGCTCGGTGAGGGCAGTCGGCTTTCGACTTCCTGCTCCGTGGCCAGGCGAAACCTCCCGGTTTCCGCATGAAATTTCAGCGTAGAAGAGCCTTTGGTGCAGGATGGCAAGACGGTCGCGAGGTGGCTGACTGGCCCCGTGCCGTGGACAGTCCAGGAGATCGGCATCGCACGAGAACGAGCGTAAGTGCCAACAGCGGACCCTGGGTCTCTGTGACAAGTCATGGAAACGAAGCTGGAATAGATGAGCTCGTCTTTGGCCGGACAGGCTGTGATCCGCACCATGCGGCCAGCAACTGTTTGACGCTTGATTCTGCACGAGGGGGAGAGCGAGGGAGTGCCATGCATGCCTGTGATTCACAAGAGCTCAAGCAGCTCACCAATGGCCGTCACTGTTTTTTATGGGCCTGCTGGGATGTGGTCACTGTCCGGATCGCCTTTGTCCTGCTTGTGCTTCGGCACACATGCTTCAGCATCGGAAAAATGCGTCCCTGCCAGATTGTGGTCATCGTGGCTGTGTTGCTTGCGATCTCCTTCCTTGGTCAGGCGCAGCAGCTGCTGAGACAGCGGAAGAAGATAGCCAAGCAGGAGGCCCAACCGTCACGAAGCCTGATAAACCTGCGCATGGCTGTCAAGGGCCAAGGGGTCGGCACTCGTAGATGTCGTTGCGACACCCTGGCCACACGGTCATAAGAGTTTCGAGCAGCCTGAAGTCCAGACCCTACGTCCTAAGCCCCATGGGTCCTAGATGCTTGAAGCCTTCAAGCTCTAAGCCTCTAAGACTCCAAGCCCTCAAGCATCAAGGTAAAACCCTGGGCCGAAAAGAGCACCGACAGCCTCCATCCTCGATCCCACAAGCTCAGATCTGCAAGAAGCCGAAAACCTAACCAAACCCAGACCCCTATCATCTATACCCCAAGCCCTAGACCCTGCCCGTAAATCCCATGCCGACATGCCAAACCTACAGACCAGATCCTGAACCAGACACTGCACCACTGCAGCTGCGATGCCATTCAGGTCACGGGTCACGTTGAAGATGAAACCCGACGAAACAAGGAGGGATGGGCACGTGGACTGACTGGGTGATGCCAGGCGCCTCGGACCAGGGTTCCAAGAAAGAGCCTCACGATGGCTTTTGGAGGGCCGAAAGACAGCCGACCTGCAGCAGACACCAAAGCCAAGCATCAGAGCCTGAGAAGCGGGCCGCGGTGCACTAGCACGCCCCAACTCCCGCGCACCTTTGGGAGCAGGGCAGATGTGCGTTAAATGGCTCTGGTGAATGCTGCTTGCTGTGAGACACGCTTGCGGCTTCAGCAGCTTCGGCCGAAGCTACTGGAGTCAGACGGACGCGAGGGATACGTTAGGCCACAGCTGACCACATCAATGCTTTCGGAGATATAAGACCCAGGTTTGGAGAATCGAGCATCTCTGGAGCGGTCTTCTAGATTCATCGGTTCGTGAGACAGTACTAGTACTACGTAATAAGACTGGTCATGCTGAAGAATCGCTGTCTTGCTGGCTTCTAGTTCACTACCCAGACTGTGACGCCTCACCCTGTGAATGCAGAGAAGACGCAGGCTTAGCCCACTTCCGTGCATTTGACTTGCAATCAAAACACACATCATGTTGGCAGGTAAATGAGGTCATGAAGTTTGACGACGCATTCGACATGGCCAAAATAAGGGCCGTGCAGCGTCGGAACCCCGGCAAACTCTGCCAGGTTGCAGGGCAACACAGACTAACAGTAACACCTACGGCAATTCATGGTGTCTTTCATTCAACATGGGCTTTTGCAAACCCGCATTGTGCAAGGTACTGCAGCAGAGAGGAAGATGTTGAGCCAGCTGCTGTGAGCTTAAGCTCGGGTTCAGGTCACATGGAAAGCGCGCTCCATAGGAGATATCTGTGAGTGGCCAGGTAGAGAGAGATATCTCCTGCGGCCACTTCACTTTACAAGCCTTCTTCGGCGTCACGGTTCTGTTGCAGATGATAGTGTTTATCCTGAGGCCGATACAGGTAGGGAACAGCGGATCTCCCATGTGCGTCAGAGAGCTGCTCGGACTGCCGCGTGCTCAGATCCGAGGGCAAGAGGCAGTGCTGCCTACACGACTCAGCGATTCAGCAGCTGAGGAGGAAGATCTCGAGCACAAGCCTCTTCAGTCGCCGGAAGTCCAACGATTCCCTTTGGGCTGGAGACCCAGGGTCCACCAACAAAAGCTCCATCTGCGTCGAAGTCCTTGCTCCCAGGGCTCTATGGTTTTGTCCAAGATCCCCGGGAGCAAAGAAGAGGCCGAGTCCGAGAAGATCATGGAGGCCGCTTTGTTGCTCATCTTCGGAAGACATCTTCCAACTGACTTGCGCCTATGTAACCTGCCAGGGTCGGCGAAAAAGCTCCATCAAACAAAGTTTCAACTCTGCTGGCTACCTAGATTGGATGCTACAAGTCCTGGTTGCTGCGGATGCTGGGTGTTGCCGAGTTTGGAGATGTGGTCGTTGCGGCACAAGCGGCAGTGCTACCCTCAGACGAATCGATCATGTAGTCTTGATGGCAAATATGGCGACCGATTTGGTGTGCAGCTGCAAAACGTGCGCTTCTGTTTTTGGCGTGGATGCTGCTGGTGCGAATGTTATTCCGTTGCGCTGAATTCCCAGGCTCGCAAAGATCTCCTGGACAGCTCGCCTCGATCTGCGAAAGGAGGCAGATGCGGGCAGGGGGAGGAGGAGGAACCTTGCGTCTGAATGAAGCCCGCTCCGACGCCTGAACTGCAACAGGGACGCAGTGAGATACATCAATATACAAAGTGCAGCGTACGCTTTTCGGAGGGCTTCTATAGGAAGCCTGATGTCGCAGCTAAAGTGTCACCCCACGGCCCCTATGGCTCGAACCAAGGGGGCCCCTTTGAGTCCAACGAGCACGCGGGTGCTAAAAGTG